ATAAAATCTTCCTCTAATTGCATAACTGAGTTTGCAATAAATAATTCGGCTATATTAATCTTTAATATTGAAATATCTAAATTTCCAGTTTCGTCATAACTAGAAATATTAATTTCAGGAATTCTTAATAAAGCTACCTTATTAACCGTAATTTTATGGAAAATTATATGATTTTGCATATTTAAAGTTGGTAAAAAGCTAATACTTATATCATTTGTTTTAAGCCAAACTCCATGTGTATCAAGTAATAATACTTGCTTAATTTTAGCAACTAATGGAAAGTAAAAACTAATCCCCTGAACTTTAATTTTATAACCTAAATTTTCTGATAATTGATTTTCAATCTGATCTTGAACAAAGGCTTGACCAGATTGACTGGATAGCCAATATATCATCCCGGCAAATGCCAATAATAAAGCCATTGATACAACTAGTAACAGATGAAGCAGCAAAACAAAATATTTTTTTATATTAGAATAATATAACATCAAAAAGCCTGCCCTATACTAAAATATAATTGATATGCTTTATCTATACCAGTAGAACGTTTACGTAAAGGGAATGCTACATCTACTCGTAAAGGTCCAAATTGAGTATAATAGCGTAATCCAACTCCAATACCCCAATGTATACCATTTTTAAAATTTGGAATTGTGGAGTTATAAACATTTCCTCCATCAATAAAAGTAACAATTCCATAATCACTATTAATGCGTACCCGCAATTCTGTAGAAAACTCGACAAATGAACGTCCTCCTAATGGAATATTTTTTTTATCAACAGGTCCTACTAATTGGTATTCATATCCTCTTAAAGAACTGCCTCCTCCCATATAGAAACGTTTTGTTGCAGGTATGGAATTATTGTTTGCACCAATAATACTACCTGTAGCTATACGAAAAGCAATAACTGGGTTTTTAATCACTGGTATAGAGTAATATGTACTACCACTCAATCTGGTTTTTAAGAAAATAGTGTTCGTATTTAGAGTATTGAAAATTGGTTCAATATTAACATTATATAACCAACCTTTTTTAGGATTGAGTATATTATCCCGTTTATCTTGTGAAATAAACATAGGTACAGAAAGCAGCATTAAATTTTTAGAACTATTTTGTTTTTTGACTTGTTCAAAATCATATTTTGCGCCTATGCCAATAATTCTTTTATTACCAATATCACGCTCAATACTACCCAATATATCTAATCCTTTAGACTGATATGCCTCACTGTTCTCTTTTTTGAAAGTACTACCTATTTTAAAACGCTGATCTGCTCTTAGGAAAAAAGGCTCGACTAATTGTGCCTCTAATCGACTTTCTATTTTTGCTAAAGACATTGCTATAAAAAATTTTTCTCCATGCTCTAGAAAATTATTATGTTCCCACTTTGTATTGAGTCCCAAACCAATATCTGTACTATAATTTGCACCTATTTTTATTGCTCGATGTTTTCCTTCCTTAAGATTAAATATAACTGGCACTTTTCTATCAGGTAATGGTGTGAGAGGTAATTTAACATTTACTTCTGCAAAAAGCCCAGATTTTTTAAGCATAGATTTAGCAGTGTTTATTTCTGATCGCTTAAAACAATGACCTTCTTGAATGGAGATTAATCTATTTAAGTAGAGTACTGCTATCGTTTTATTACCCACAAAACTAATTTCCCAAAAGTAGCTCACTCTTA